GGGGGGGTGCTGTAGTCTGGGCAGGAGCACTCAACCAGAAGTACAAACCTTCCCCCCGTGGCTGAATCTTGGGCCGCCCTAGCCAAGCTCCAACACTTCTGGGTAATATTCTTATTGGTCCATCTCTGTGATGTGCAGCCTCACTGGCCAATAGGAATATAGAGGAGGCCGGAGGGGGTAGGCAAGCCTTGGCACTATCGGAAAGGGAGGTTCTGGAGGCTGCTGCAGGTATGAGACCTCCAGGTGCCCGAACTACAAACCTACAAAACGTCCGATTTTCCCCAATATGAAGTTGTATCTCCCCCTTCCCCCCCTCCGAGTCTCTCCACAGAGCATAGTCCTCTAGTATGGGAGCGGGGGTCACCCCGGGACGGGAGTGGGGGTCACCCCGGGATTGGGGAGCGGGGGTCACCCCGGGATGGGAGTGGGGGTCACCCCGGGATTGGGGAGGTTCTAGTATGGGAGCGGGGGGTCTCACCATGGACTATATCTATACATGGAAGGAATGGTGGATGGACTGACCTGTTGTTCTTCTTCTGGTACCACCTCGGCCCAGTCCTCCGTCCCGCGCAGCTTACTGTACGTGTTCAGCAGAACTTCAACTGTACGCGGAGAAGTGTAACAATAGCGCAGAACCTGAAATATGAGCGTTGGGTTACTTCTGTCCACAAGACGTAGATACATTTCCCCCAAATATGTATATGACGGAAATACGAGGGGACGGAGATACGTGGGGACGGTGATGCGGGGGGACGGAGATGCGAGGGGACGGAGATGCGAGGGGACGGAGATGCGAGGGGACGGAGATACAAGGGGACGGAAATCCACGGGACGGAGATACGAGGGGACGGAGATGCGAGGGGACGGAGAAGCGAGGGGACGGAGACGCGAGGGGGCGGAGACGCGAGGGGGCGGAGACGCGAGGGGGCGGAGACGCGAGGGGGCGGAGACGCGAGGGGGCGGAGACGCGAGGGGGCGGAGACGCGAGGGGGCGGAGACGCGAGGGGGCGGAGACGCGAGGGGGCGGAGACGCGAGGGGGCGGAGACGCGAGGGGGCGGAGACGCGAGGGGGCGGAGACGCGAGGGGGCGGAGACGCGAGGGGGCGGAGACGCGAGGGGGCGGAGACGCGAGGGGGCGGAGACGCGAGGGGGCGGAGACGCGAGGGGGCGGAGACGCGAGGGGGCGGAGACGCGAGGGGGCGGAGACGCGAGGGGGCGGAGACGCGAGGGGGCGGAGACGCGAGGGGGCGGAGACGCGAGGGGGCGGAGACGCGAGGGGGCGGAGACGCGAGGGGGCGGAGACGCGAGGGGGCGGAGACGCGAGGGGGCGGAGACGCGAGGGGGCGGAGACGCGAGGGGGCGGAGACGCGAGGGGGCGGAGACGCGAGGGGGCGGAGACGCGAGGGGGCGGAGACGCGAGGGGGCGGAGACGCGAGGGGGCGGAGACGCGAGGGGGCGGAGACGCGAGGGGGCGGAGACGCGAGGGGGCGGAGACGCGAGGGGGCGGAGACGCGAGGGGGCGGAGACGCGAGGGGGCGGAGACGCGAGGGGGCGGAGACGCGAGGGGGCGGAGACGCGAGGGGGCGGAGACGCGAGGGGGCGGAGACGCGAGGGGGCGGAGACGCGAGGGGGCGGAGACGCGAGGGGGCGGAGACGCGAGGGGGCGGAGACGCGAGGGGGCGGAGACGCGAGGGGGCGGAGACGCGAGGGGGCGGAGACGCGAGGGGGCGGAGACGCGAGGGGGCGGAGACGCGAGGGGGCGGAGACGCGAGGGGGCGGAGACGCGAGGGGGCGGAGACGCGAGGGGGCGGAGACGCGAGGGGGCGGAGACGCGAGGGGGCGGAGACGCGAGGGGGCGGAGACGCGAGGGGGCGGAGACGCGAGGGGGCGGAGACGCGAGGGGGCGGAGACGCGAGGGGGCGGAGACGCGAGGGGGCGGAGACGCGAGGGGGCGGAGACGCGAGGGGGCGGAGACGCGAGGGGGCGGAGACGCGAGGGGGCGGAGACGCGAGGGGGCGGAGACGCGAGGGGGCGGAGACGCGAGGGGGCGGAGACGCGAGGGGGCGGAGACGCGAGGGGGCGGAGACGCGAGGGGGCGGAGACGCGAGGGGGCGGAGACGCGAGGGGGCGGAGACGCGAGGGGGCGGAGACGCGAGGGGGCGGAGACGCGAGGGGGCGGAGACGCGAGGGGGCGGAGACGCGAGGGGGCGGAGACGCGAGGGGGCGGAGACGCGAGGGGGCGGAGACGCGAGGGGGCGGAGACGCGAGGGGGCGGAGACGCGAGGGGGCGGAGACGCGAGGGGGCGGAGACGCGAGGGGGCGGAGACGCGAGGGGGCGGAGACGCGAGGGGGCGGAGACGCGAGGGGGCGGAGACGCGAGGGGGCGGAGACGCGAGGGGGCGGAGACGCGAGGGGGCGGAGACGCGAGGGGGCGGAGACGCGAGGGGGCGGAGACGCGAGGGGGCGGAGACGCGAGGGGGCGGAGACGCGAGGGGGCGGAGACGCGAGGGGGCGGAGACGCGAGGGGGCGGAGACGCGAGGGGGCGGAGACGCGAGGGGGCGGAGACGCGAGGGGGCGGAGACGCGAGGGGGCGGAGACGCGAGGGGGCGGAGACGCGAGGGGGCGGAGACGCGAGGGGGCGGAGACGCGAGGGGGCGGAGACGCGAGGGGGCGGAGACGCGAGGGGGCGGAGACGCGAGGGGGCGGAGACGCGAGGGGGCGGAGACGCGAGGGGGCGGAGACGCGAGGGGGCGGAGACGCGAGGGGGCGGAGACGCGAGGGGGCGGAGACGCGAGGGGGCGGAGACGCGAGGGGGCGGAGACGCGAGGGGGCGGAGACGCGAGGGGGCGGAGACGCGAGGGGGCGGAGACGCGAGGGGGCGGAGACGCGAGGGGGCGGAGACGCGAGGGGGCGGAGACGCGAGGGGGCGGAGACGCGAGGGGGCGGAGACGCGAGGGGGCGGAGACGCGAGGGGGCGGAGACGCGAGGGGGCGGAGACGCGAGGGGGCGGAGACGCGAGGGGGCGGAGACGCGAGGGGGCGGAGACGCGAGGGGGCGGAGACGCGAGGGGGCGGAGACGCGAGGGGGCGGAGACGCGAGGGGGCGGAGACGCGAGGGGGCGGAGACGCGAGGGGGCGGAGACGCGAGGGGGCGGAGACGCGAGGGGGCGGAGACGCGAGGGGGCGGAGACGCGAGGGGGCGGAGACGCGAGGGGGCGGAGACGCGAGGGGGCGGAGACGCGAGGGGGCGGAGACGCGAGGGGGCGGAGACGCGAGGGGGCGGAGACGCGAGGGGGCGGAGACGCGAGGGGGCGGAGACGCGAGGGGGCGGAGACGCGAGGGGGCGGAGACGCGAGGGGGCGGAGACGCGAGGGGGCGGAGACGCGAGGGGGCGGAGACGCGAGGGGGCGGAGACGCGAGGGGGCGGAGACGCGAGGGGGCGGAGACGCGAGGGGGCGGAGACGCGAGGGGGCGGAGACGCGAGGGGGCGGAGACGCGAGGGGGCGGAGACGCGAGGGGGCGGAGACGCGAGGGGGCGGAGACGCGAGGGGGCGGAGACGCGAGGGGGCGGAGACGCGAGGGGGCGGAGACGCGAGGGGGCGGAGACGCGAGGGGGCGGAGACGCGAGGGGGCGGAGACGCGAGGGGGCGGAGACGCGAGGGGGCGGAGACGCGAGGGGGCGGAGACGCGAGGGGGCGGAGACGCGAGGGGGCGGAGACGCGAGGGGGCGGAGACGCGAGGGGGCGGAGACGCGAGGGGGCGGAGACGCGAGGGGGCGGAGACGCGAGGGGGCGGAGACGCGAGGGGGCGGAGACGCGAGGGGGCGGAGACGCGAGGGGGCGGAGACGCGAGGGGGCGGAGACGCGAGGGGGCGGAGACGCGAGGGGGCGGAGACGCGAGGGGGCGGAGACGCGAGGGGGCGGAGACGCGAGGGGGCGGAGACGCGAGGGGGCGGAGACGCGAGGGGGCGGAGACGCGAGGGGGCGGAGACGCGAGGGGACGGAGACGCGAGGGGACGGAGATCCACGGGACGGAGATGCGAGGGGACGGAGATGCGAGGGGACGGAGATACGTGGGGACGGAGATACGACGGGACGGAGATACGAGGGGACGGAGATACGAGGGGACTGTTGATATGGGCCCCGTGTTGTAGAAGCAGCTTGGCACACCTTGGAGAGAGAAGACAAATCAGATGAGTCCTCCCATACAATGGAACTAATAGAACGGATCGCCAGGACCTCTGAGGAGGCCATAACCCAGGAACTCCCCTTTCACTAAACATGAACACAACATATATCAACACTTCACTTGTGTCATTTCCACTCTTCATCCACAGTCACCAATCACATCCAAATACCAGACATGTCAATATTCTGATCGGTGGTTTAGGAGCTATGAAGAGATCCTACAGATCATAGAGGGGTCATGTAAGAACCATGAAGAGATCCTACAGATCATAGAGGGGTCATATAGGAACCATGAAGAGATCCTACAGATCATAGAGGGGTCATGTAAGAACCATGAAGAGATCCTACAGATCATAGAGGGGTCATATAGGAACCATGAAGAGATCCTACAGATCATAGAGGGGTCACGTAAGAACCATGAAGAGATCCTACAGATCATAGAGGGGTCAT